TCTAAATATTATACTGTAATAAATAGTAATAGTGTATTTTATCTATATTATTCCATTTCATTAATTTAGCCTTTCTATTTTGTCTCAAATACTTTTATTGCTAAGCATTTTGTATCCAATATGGACAGTAACAACAAAAATTGTCAAAGACCAATCTATCTTTGTCAACCATATCAGAATCTCGGGTTTTAAAAACAAAACCATTTTTATAAGAAGATAAAGTTGAAACCTAAGATCCTACTCTAATTTCTTCGACTATCCTTATACTCTGTTTTGAGCAAAAATGGAATGCTTAACTACGTTGACTGGTAATAATGGTTAAAAAGTAAAAAAGTAAAAGAATGAAGTGATGAATAATGGTGTTAATAACAAGGGACCACAACACGCACGCACTAAGATGAACAGATAAAAGGGGGTAAATCAGAAAAGAATCAGAGAAAATTGTAAGAGAAAAAAAAATCTCTGCCTTTGATTTAAAAATTAATATATCAAAAGGTTGAAACTATGGTGCTAAGAATGAAAATCCCTCAATATCACTGTATAGGCAAAATAATTACTAAAATTATGTGTTTTTTTTCAAAATTATCAAAGTAGACATGTTTAAAAAATTTATGAAAATAGACCAATTTTATTAATTTGGTATGATAAGAAGTGGTCTCAACTTTATATTGATTTTGACTCAGTTAGTTTGTTTTTTTTAATTTTCATTAAAGTCGTGATAATTTAGTGTAGTTTGAATTGAACTTAGGAGTGACGAAATTTTAATTGTTTATACAATTTGTTTTCTATAAACTATTAAAAATAGCTAAAAATTGATTTTTATCTTATTTTTTATAGGATATAGATTTTGAGATAAAAAAATTTGTTGAGAAAAATTTCAAACCCTTAAAACTTTTTATAGGGAGTTCGGATTGAAACACTTTATATACTTTATATATGAAAGTTGTTCAAAGGGGATTAGAAATCCAATTTTTCAAAAAATACATAATTTACTACTACTCTTTTTTACTATTTTCTCTTTCTTTTTTCTACATTTTAATCTTTTAGTTGATATACTTATATTTATGATAGAATTTAAAAAAAAATTGTGATGTGTCTTTATAATAAATAAAGATTTATTAAATAATTCATATGTTCAAGGACAAAAGTTTTCATTTTTTAAACTTTTAATATATATTAAAATATTACATAATTGAAGTTGTGTCACCACAACTTTAATTTATATACCAATACACTAAAATAGTGTCACTCAAACATGACTTTATTTAAAATTTCAAAAAATTACAATTAATTGAAGTTGTACCATGCAAGTTTAAGTTCACTTTAATAAATCAAAAGTTATAATCGGCTTTTTTATAATGAAATTGTACTAAACTAACATAATTTGTTTGTAATTATAATTTTTTGAAATCTTTACATACTATATGATTGTTTGTCAACTAAAAATCAGACGATCAATCATAGCTCAGGCCATCAAGCGAGCCACCAATGAACCTGACCGATCACCAAGCAAACTTGTCGGTCATAAGTCAGCGCATTAACCTTATTACTTATCAACTTAAAGGTAAAGTATGATTATCGGTGATTGGATCGTAATTATGTCAGTGTTAATAAAAGTTCACCCTGAAACTTATTAATAAAAGTATGAGGTAAGAAGATAGGTGATTTGAATTTACTGTGCTTAACTCTTAAATATTGACTTTAGTATCGGAATGTCTTATGCAAAGTACCATCTGAACGATTTGGACAATCAATTAGACCCAGCACTTGAATTTTAGATACAACATAGTTTGAACTCTTGGCCTCTACCCATACCTGAAACATTTCTTATTTTAATAATTTTTTTGAAAAAAATCACCATTTTAATGTTTTGCCGCGTGAAGGAAAACACAATATGGGACCCTTTCAAGCCAACAACAATAATTTTATGGAGACAGTTGCATTCTTATCAGGAAAGATGAAACTGTGAGATACTATTATTATTTTATATATGTAGAGTGGATGATGATCCAATCTAAGTTTAAAACTGATGAATTTATAAAGTATGGAGTGAAACTAACCCTATAGAAAGTTTGATTCCAGTCACCAATCCTTCATTGAGTCCCGGCATATTATAAGTATNGGTTTGTCAACTAAAAATCAGACGATCAATCATAGCTCAGGCCATCAAGCGAGCCACCAATGAACCTGACCGATCACCAAGCAAACTTGTCGGTCATAAGTCAGCGCATTAACCTTATTACTTATCAACTTAAAGGTAAAGTATGATTATCGGTGATTGGATCGTAATTATGTCAGTGTTAATAAAAGTTCACCCTGAAACTTATTAATAAAAGTATGAGGTAAGAAGATAGGTGATTTGAATTTACTGTGCTTAACTCTTAAATATTGACTTTAGTATCGGAATGTCTTATGCAAAGTACCATCTGAACGATTTGGACAATCAATTAGACCCAGCACTTGAATTTTAGATACAACATAGTTTGAACTCTTGGCCTCTACCCATACCTGAAACATTTCTTATTTTAATAATTTTTTTGAAAAAAATCACCATTTTAATGTTTTGCCGTGTGAAGGAAAACACAATATGGGACCCTTTCAAGCCAACAACAATAATTTTATGGAGACAGTTGCATTCTTATCAGGAAAGATGAAACTGTGAGATACTATTATTATTTTATATATGTAGAGTGGATGATGATCCAATCTAAGTTTAAAACTGATGAATTTATAAAGTATGGAGTGAAACTAACCCTATAGAAAGTTTGATTCCAGTCACCAATCCTTCATTGAGTCCCGGCATATTATAAGTATAGTATGAGTGTAACGTTTTCAATTGTTGTCTAAAACAAACAATTTTATAATGATAACTTATGTATTGGCTCCTGCTTTGCTGGTTGTTTCTATTGTCCCAAAGTCTTCATTCAGCTACGATCTCGTCCACAAAATAAGAAAAAAAAATTGCAATTCGGTTGATAGAACAAATTTTGTTGTTTGGAGTGGAAACTAGATCTCAATATACAAAGTATCTGACGAGATAGAATTCTTTGGCTTAAGACTTTTATAATGAATTATGCATGTATTATGTTTTTTGAAGTTATTATTACAATCCATTTTAGTGAAACTATTAATATTTAATAATAAATATTTTTTTATAAAAACCATAAATATTTTTTATAAAAATTATAAATTTTCCAGTACAATTTTCTTACTAATATTCTCTTAACGTACAACTATCTAAGTTTTCTACACAAGACTTTTTGAATTATGATATAAAACATTCAAATCAATTGTTCATTTTAATAATACTTTTTTACTTTTTCCTTTTTCATTATTATAATTTTTAGTAAATACTCACTTAAAAAACCAATTATAAACAAAAAAATAATTAACCCCATATAAAACTTGTACTGTGAAATTTGATGGAGATGTGTTAATGCTAAGAGGCTGCAACTCTTTTGGCATATTTACTGTTGTGTTTTATTTTTCTATTTCGTTCTTAGTAGTGCTTTTGTCAGGTGTTTTTATTTCTTTCAAAAAAGTCTTACCATCTATATTCTTCAAAGGTTTATTTGATACCATTCAATTATATTTTTGTTAGATTCTACGACTATTATTAATCTAAACACAAAAATACACTAATAACGAAAAAGATGAAAAAAAATGGTTGAGTACAACAACAAATATTTAAGTAAAGATATTTTATATCAGAAAAAAAAATAATCTGACATAAAACTCTTTTCATATTTACAAGTTATTACAACAGAAATAATAAATCATTGCTAAATCTTGTTTTTCATTAGTAAAAGAAAAATTGAAAATATTTAAAAAAAGTCATTAAAATACTTGTTGTAATATATATTAATGAAATAAAAGAGGTTTCTATAAACTAAAAGAAAAATGAAAAAGTAATAAACGTAACAGGGAAAGAAATAGTTAAGAAAAAATGTTTTCAGCATTGTGCGAGATGTTATGTTAAATTTAAAATTTGGGCAGATGGTGATTAGTAGGAGTAAGTATATTAATAAGAATTGAGTGGATCTAAGAGGGTGTAGGTGAAATGGTTAGTTTAAAAAGGTTAGGCATGTGACATATAGTAGTATTTTTTTGTGTGAATTGGTTGGTTGGTGTGATTGAAAGAACGAGGGAAGCCCCGTATGTAGGTCAGGCTTTTGTGCAAACTGAAAGGACCCACCAACCCATAAGAATGCACCTTCTTCCCCGGCAACGCGTGCTTCCACTCCACGTCCATTTCCCTCCCTCTCTTTTATTAATCATTTTTCAAATATATTATTATAATTATAATTATTATTATTATTTCTCAACATTGCCAAAACAGACAGAAGCTACGCCTCACAACCATCTGTGTGGTCATGTTCACAAAGACCACGGTACACATCGATCAACGTTATTACATGGATTACCGTACATCTATACCCGTAACGTATGCACATCCATTTGTAAATAAAAATCTATAAACTCACCACAACCATGCAATCACTTGCATCACATTACTTTACATCATTACATTACATTATTAACAAAAACATACCACCCACATGCCCAGTTAACTTCTATAATCATTGCCAAAAACCCATCAAATATTGCATCTATTTTCCCATAGTACAGGTACGAAACATCCATCATTCATCATTCACTGTTTGCTCACCCCCAACAAACAAAAGAATTAAGGAAGGGATAAACCCATGATTTTTTTGTCCCCTTTTGTTTTTTTAATCATCCAAAACTGAACACCAATGGTTGGATTTGAGATCCTGAGGGCTATTTCTACCTCCGACAACTACCAGAGATACCCATTCATCGTACGGTCAGGATCCATCTGTCGGCGGCACACAACATGCCACCTTAACCTCCTTCTCTACCTCATAGGCACGCTTCAATTATACAATAATACTAGCCTACATACATACATACATACATAATACTCTGATGTGCACTTTCAGACAACTATTTTATGATGTAGTAATTTTAGGTGCATGTGATTCACCTCAGCAGGCTATGCTCTTCTGTTCATGATTTGTCTTGAGCAAACCAAGGCCTTGTGATCCTCAACAATTATATACTTTTAAATTAGTGCTAATAATACATCTATTTTTTTATTTCTTCTCCTTTCTTTACTCCTTTGTTTAATATATCTGCATTGCTGGACCTGTCTCAGGCATCTCCTCCACAATACTTCGATCACATTGGTCAAGGCACTGGGATTTCTTTCGCATGCCTCCAGCCTCATGCAATAGCGCCTCGGTTTCCGTGTCTTCAAGAGAGAATCTTAAATTCCACAACAGTTCTGTTACATTGTATTCTTCTATTTAATCCCCAACAGTATGTACTGACCACCCTGATGGGGAATATGAGAGCAGATTAGCAGATTAGCAGATTAGCAGAGTCTTCGTCAAATTAACACAGTCTTGTCTTGTCCCTTAACTTGGCTTGAATTTCAAAGGAAGACTGTCTTTCTCGCCTTTCCTTCTGAGATCCCCTTTTGTTCTCTCGTCTTCTTGTTCAGAACAAATTTTTGGTGCCCTCGGCTCATAGAATTTTAGCAGGTTAGAAGTTACAATCTTTTTGCGTTGGAAATTCAGTTATTTCTTATTTGAACTTGTGTTTGATTCTAGGAATATTCTCAAAACCAAAATCAGTTCAGTATTTATGATAGGCATATTGTTGGTATATGTACAAACTGATTTTTTAAACTGTTGCATGCCCCTCGTCTTCCCTTTTTGCAAGCAAATTTTGTGTCATTCTGTATCATTGTTATGTATTTTAGGCTATGGGATTGGATTTGCATAACTTTAATGAGAGGGTGCTACAAAGTTTTTCTATTGTTGAGAATTGAAGATGATATATTGATGTGTTCAAAATTTATATTATGTCATTAGGGTGATAATTTAATGTCAGATTGTGATATTAGATTGTAGAGAACAAAACAAAAAAGTGTTGAATCCTGAAGAAATTGAGAGATGAGGAATATGCTTCGCGTCTTGCCGGGTCAATGTGGAGAAGTATAGTACCTTATAAAAGATTACCCAAACAAAAGCGTAGCCTAAATCATTCACGCCTTTAAATATCCAGTGTAATAGGGATGGATGTCTGTCTGCAGATAGTTTAACAAGGGAAAAACTAATTATGACAAACAAAATTATGGTACACATTCCGTGAATGAGAGAGAAACTGAGGAAGGAAATTTAGGGTTAAAAAACAAGTAAATGGGCTTCCTTATGGTCCTAACTATAATGATACTGCTTCTTCAAGCATTCTTTTTAATCTGGGCATATGAAAAGAAGAGAAAAATGTCTCCTTGGTCGTTAATTTAAATATTGCAATAATTGAACGGATAACATGAATAATGACATCATGCGTGTGTATGAATGAGGAGTTGTAATTATGGAAGGAAAATTTAACTGATAAAGGTGTCGGGAGATATTTTCTTTTTGCTGGGGTTCAGTCGAATGTGGTCCAAAGTTTTGAAAGGAGAGCTAGCAAGGGAACAGACAAATTATACTAAAAGGAAGTTGATGCTATCATTTTGTATTAGGTCTGAAGGCCATTGCAACCATTTCTTTTTTATGAACCATCCTGTTTTCTATATAAAAGCTTTTCATCTTTCAACTACATCACTTAAACTCATCAGTGACATATAACTTAATGAAGGCATGAAGATACAAGTCTGAGTTCAAAATTTCCTACAAAGAAGACTCAACTGTGTAGCACTCGTTCAAAGTTCTTTTGCTCAGAGGCTAAGTAGATTACCGATGGAGAAGCTTGTTAGGTCCTGCGACAAAGAATACATGAGAATGGCCATGTTAAAACACGAAGAAACCTTCAAAGAGCAGGTACTTCTCTTTCTATTCCTTCAGGATATCTTCTTCTATCATGAATACTAGAGCCTTAAAATCCTGAGAATGTTTTTAACAGGTATATGAACTACATCGTTTGTACCGAATTCAGAAGATACTGATGCAAAATATGGAAGCCAGAAGAGGTGTTGAAGTAATCCAAGAAGAGTGGTACTTCAAGAATGCGATTAGTTTAACTCATAATGGAGCACAAGAAAAGCCTCAAATGAAATTTGACCTTGAACGGCCAGCAGAGGAGCACATTGCAGAATCAGAAGATGGGGTGCTAGAGATCATAGATGAGACTGAGATTGAGCTAACATTAGGCCCCTCAAGTTACAACCGTAGGAAGAAAGTCGAGACACCACTAACTTCAGATTCAGGACACAGCTTGTCTTCTTCTTCTAGTGGATCAAGCCGTATAAACAAGACAAGGTGTCATGGCAGTCATACCACAAGAGAAGAATCAAGTGGAAGCATAATTCGCCTAGTCCAGATGCCCGGTTCAAACCCAGGGTGCCAAAGTGGAATTAGAAACAGTTTTGATGTAGAAGAACAATTAAGACAAGAGAAATTAAAACAGTCACCTTGGCTTTTTCAAGTGTTGAATCTGAACATGACTTGAAAAGAAAAATCTGTGGTCAATGTGATATATTTTATGTTTATGTTTCAAAAGTTAAGACTAACTTTTGTGGATGATGTTTGTGTTGAATGTTCAGCCGAATTATTGAGTGTGGTGGGATTTGATGTGTCTATCGTATGATCGATTTTTTCCCTGATGCCCAAACCCATTACTATTCACAAGTCACATGCCACTCATATTTCTCTGGTCCTGCACTTACTCGCGTTCCTTCCCACTAAAGGCCATGCAAACATCCTTTCATACATTAATGGAGGACAACTAGATGAATTAAATATCACTTTTTTAGAAACGCTGAGATTTTTCATTTTAATTAGATTCCCACCTCCACATTCAATCTTTCAACAAAGAACTTTTCGATACCAATTTTCCTTAAAATGAGAAAAAACTGTCTATCCTAATAGGTCTCTCTGAAGCAACTGACCCCAGCAGTGTTTTACTGCAATATCAGGCCGCTGTAGTTCATTCCCGATACCACTCACAATAAATCTTATTTCTGAAGGAGTCAAAACCCTTCAAACCTCCGACGAGAGTGGATGGTTCTTTGCAGATAGCATAAAAACTGTTCACAACACAACCAGTTCTCTAGAACAAAATATTCAAACGGAATCTCCAAATGAGTCAATTCGGAAATTGGCATTGTCAATGTCTCAAGGTGTATCTGCAAATGTTCTAATGTTCAAGTGAAGTTAGAAATTAGATAGCAATACATCAAGCCCTATTAGGCCTATTTATGTCATCTTGGCCTTTCCTATACAAGTTCCTCACAGATCTTACAAATCTATAATTCAGTGTATTTGGACAGCTGGAAGGTCGTGGTGGCATATCTCANTTTTGCGTTGGAAATTCAGTTATTTCTTATTTGAACTTGTGTTTGATTCTAGGAATATTCTCAAAACCAAAATCAGTTCAGTATTTATGATAGGCATATTGTTGGTATATGTACAAACTGATTTTTTAAACTGTTGCATGCCCCTCGTCTTCCCTTTTTGCAAGCAAATTTTGTGTCATTCTGTATCATTGTTATGTATTTTAGGCTATGGGATTGGATTTGCATAACTTTAATGAGAGGGTGCTACAAAGTTTTTCTATTGTTGAGAATTGAAGATGATATATTGAGGTGTTCAAAATTTATATTATGTCATTAGGGTGATAATTTAATGTCAGATTGTGATATTAGATTGTAGAGAACAAAACAAAAAAGTGTTGAATCCTGAAGAAATTGAGAGATGAGGAATATGCTTCGCGTCTTGCCGGGTCAATGTGGAGAAGTATAGTACCTTATAAAAGATTACCCAAACAAAAGCGTAGCCTAAATCATTCACGCCTTTAAATATCCAGTGTAATAGGGATGGATGTCTGTCTGCAGATAGTTTAACAAGGGAAAAACTAATTATGACAAACAAAATTATGGTACACATTCCGTGAATGAGAGAGAAACTGAGGAAGGAAATTTAGGGTTAAAAAACAAGTAAATGGGCTTCCTTATGGTCCTAACTATAATGATACTGCTTCTTCAAGCATTCTTTTTAATCTGGGCATATGAAAAGAAGAGAAAAATGTCTCCTTGGTCGTTAATTTAAATATTGCAATAATTGAACGGATAACATGAATAATGACATCATGCGTGTGTATGAATGAGGAGTTGTAATTATGGAAGGAAAATTTAACTGATAAAGGTGTCGGGAGATATTTTCTTTTTGCTGGGGTTCAGTCGAATGTGGTCCAAAGTTTTGAAAGGAGAGCAAGCAAGGGAACAGACAAATTATACTAAAAGGAAGTTGATGCTATCATTTTGTATTAGGTCTGAAGGCCATTGCAACCATTTCTTTTTTATGAACCATCCTGTTTTCTATATAAAAGCTTTTCATCTTTCAACTACATCACTTAAACTCATCAGTGACATATAACTTAATGAAGGCATGAAGATACAAGTCTGAGTTCAAAATTTCCTACAAAGAAGACTCAACTGTGTAGCACTCGTTCAAAGTTCTTTTGCTCAGAGGCTAAGTAGATTACCGATGGAGAAGCTTGTTAGGTCCTGCGACAAAGAATACATGAGAATGGCCATGTTAAAACACGAAGAAACCTTCAAAGAGCAGGTACTTCTCTTTCTATTCCTTCAGGATATCTTCTTCTATCATGAATACTAGAGCCTTAAAATCCTGAGAATGTTTTTAACAGGTATATGAACTACATCGTTTGTACCGAATTCAGAAGATACTGATGCAAAATATGGAAGCCAGAAGAGGTGTTGAAGTAAGCCAAGAAGAGTGGTACTTCAAGAATGCGATTAGTTTAACTCATAATGGAGCACAAGAAAAGCCTCAAATGAAATTTGACCTTGAACGGCCAGCAGAGGAGCACATTGCAGAATCAGAAGATGGGGTGCTAGAGATCATAGATGAGACTGAGATTGAGCTAACATTAGGCCCCTCAAGTTACAACCGTAGGAAGAAAGTCGAGACACCACTAACTTCAGATTCAGGACACAGCTTGTCTTCTTCTTCTAGTGGATCAAGCCGTATAAACAAGACAAGGTGTCATGGCAGTCATACCACAAGAGAAGAATCAAGTGGAAGCATAATTCGCCTAGTCCAGATGCCCGGTTCAAACCCAGGGTGCCAAAGTGGAATTAGAAACAGTTTTGATGTAGAAGAACAATTAAGACAAGAGAAATTAAAACAGTCACCTTGGCTTTTTCAAGTGTTGAATCTGAACATGACTTGAAAAGAAAAATCTGTGGTCAATGTGATATATTTTATGTTTATGTTTCAAAAGTTAAGACTAACTTTTGTGGATGATGTTTGTGTTGAATGTTCAGCCGAATTATTGAGTGTGGTGGGATTTGATGTGTCTATCGTATGATCGATTTTTTCCCTGATGCCCAAACCCATTACTATTCACAAGTCACATGCCACTCATATTTCTCTGGTCCTGCACTTACTCGCGTTCCTTCCCACTAAAGGCCATGCAAACATCCTTTCATACATTAATGGAGGACAACTAGATGAATTAAATATCACTTTTTTAGAAACGCTGAGATTTTTCATTTTAATTAGATTCCCACCTCCACATTCAATCTTTCAACAAAGAACTTTTCGATACCAATTTTCCTTAAAATGAGAAAAAACTGTCTATCCTAATAGGTCTCTCTGAAGCAACTGACCCCAGCAGTGTTTTACTGCAATATCAGGCCGCTGTAGTTCATTCCCGATACCACTCACAATAAATCTTATTTCTGAAGGAGTCAAAACCCTTCAAACCTCCGACGAGAGTGGATGGTTCTTTGCAGATAGCATAAAAACTGTTCACAACACTACCAGTTCTCTAGAACAAAATATTCAAACGGAATCTCCAAATGAGTCAATTCGGAAATTGGCATTGTCAATGTCTCAAGGTGTATCTGCAAATGTTCTAATGTTCAAGTGAAGTTAGAAATTAGATAGCAATACATCAAGCCCTATTAGGCCTATTTATGTCATCTTGGCCTTTCCTATACAAGTTTCTCACAGATCTTACAAATCTATAATTCAGTGTATTTGGACAGCTGGAAGGTCGTGGTGGCATATCTCAAGTCTTAGTTATTGGAAGTGAATTGAATATAGGATGGGTACAGAACAAAAACAATTCAAGTTTTGGTTAAGAGTAGAAAGCAAAAAGGATTCATTTGACGATATTGTTGTTTACTTCCCTGAACGCATTAAGTAGGCAAACGATGTTTTCTCTCTCTCCCCAGTGTCATTCTTTTTCCACTTATCTTCACATAACTTGGAAGCCAACAAGAAGTTGGAGATCTAAATCCTGTCTGCCATGGGATGGACATCAGATTCTCCAGCTAATATTTAAACATCCATATTAACATACTTACGTTAGGTCTGTCCCGAAATATGTATAACTTATAGCTATGTTTGGTGCCTTTGGAATATACATGAATCGAATCCAGACCATGATCTCCTTTCTTTACATGATTAGGCTCAAACATCAGCACGGACATTGCTAGGCTGTCACTTGAACCATATTACCAAGCTTTTATCCCAAGGACTCAATAATTCAAAGACAGACAGACCCCACTAACTGCTGTTATCAGATGTTGTGTTCTTCCAGGGATCTTAAGGTCGTTGGAAAGATGTAGTGTCTATGTCGCTGTACTGTTCCAAGTTGACCCGCCTAATATTCATTTTTCTTTATACCATTAACTCGTTTAGAAATTTTATAAAATTGTACTTTTCTCATCTTTACACCACTAAACCCTTTGCTGAAATTGTCCCCAAAACACGGATAATTTCCGTTCCTCCCTTTCTAATTGACCACAGACACAGAATTATTAACATTGGAATCTTCAGCAAGAAGCTATGCACTTTTAAATGGAACAGAACAAAATTTACAACTTCATTTGGCATTTGGGAATGAATAAAAAGTTTTTTTTTCTTCTGGGTATTCAACATAACGCATAACTCTACAGGAGTTGATTCATACATAACTGCAAAAAGTAACTCTATAGCGTTTATATGCTCATGTTGATTAGAACAAAAATTATCTTTTCCGATGATACCAGAAGATAAATTATTGATTTTATTATTCTTCTGGAACCATAGAGCAATCATGTAGTCACTGGGCTGCAACGCAAGCAATCAATAAGAAACTCTGTATTACTTTTCACCACCCTTTACAAATTACACATTAAAGTTCTTGGACGTAAGGATCATGAAAATTCAATCTTCACGAGTATAACAGTGAAGTAAAACTAGCCCTGTATACAATAAGCCTCTGAGAACAAAGATAGAACTTGTGTCCTGCATACTAGGATATAGAATGGCGTCGATTTTTGTCAGGTTTTACGCGACCTTTGAGAGGGTTGGAGGCTGCACCGCCACGTGAAAAAGGAGAAAGACGTCCAAGTTTTTTAGACACTGAGTTGATGAACGATTTTCGAGGGAGAGGAGGCTTATCAGCGGAGGGTGAACCGTATATTACAGGACTGCTTGATGCTGATCTAAGGGAAGATCTTTCGATCTCTTTTAGTTTCATTCTCAACTTCACTATCTCTAGTTTCAGCTCTTCGTTTTCTCTTCGTAAGTTGGAGAACTCGTTTGACATTGGATTAAGCTCGTTGGGGGATAGATTCGTCTTGTCACGAAAATTATTGGGAGAATCCCAACCTACACTACCATCCATGGAATCGCGAAGACGTTGTTGTTCATAGTAGAGAACTTGAACCACTGTTTGAACGGGAAGCCTGTCGTTTTGAGCTGCGTGAGCACACGCATCTCGTGATAACTTCTGGCAATCCATCACGCTGCAGACTTTCTTTTTCTCAATGTCACTTAGAATTGGATGAGCCTGAGATTTGCAAATTTTTACTTTACCACCAGCAATCTATGATGCTTTATAAAATTGATAACATTAGATTATTGTTGTAAGTTTAATATTGTTATGTGGTGACATCAGAATCTAAAGCCAATTCAAATGTGGTAAAACCTCAGTGTATGTGCTTTCTAGAAGGGGAATCTGATGTTGGCTTTGAAAAATAGTAAAAAGTACAAAATGTGATCTTGAGTGCGTGTTCTACCAAAAGGAAATGAAGTAACCTGTCTCAGATTTCGATCTCCTTCCATGTCTCTCCAACTAAAATAACATCATTATGCAAATAAAGTTTTAATAAGACCCGAAAAAGAGACAGGTAATCTGAGTACACCACAAAAGTTGGATTTGACTCCTTAAAATGAGTAAGGATAAAACATGTGTTTGGAAATACATTTTCTAAGTTAGGTTGTAAGAATTCACCCCAAATAACTGAGACATAAAAGCTACCGTAGAGAGCCTTTATCATGACGAAAAAATGATAACCTTAAAGCTACAAAGAGATATGGTGGGAAAACGAAACATCCCCATGGTTGCATCCATACATAGTATAGGTCACTGACTCAAGACCAAACACTCACTTAATGATTAATATTTCAACACATGCATGACCTATTGTGTGTGTATAGTTAAGGAATCCAATTTATATAAGTTATACCAATAGAGTGATGAATAATTTAATATGTAGTACCAAGTTTCAGCCAAAAAGTTACCCCAAAAGAAGATACAGCCACATGGGTTTAGAAGCGTACCTTAAGATAGATGTCTATGGCCCTATACATTCCATCCTCTGTTGATCTTGATTGTTGAGGAATTAGTTCAGCAAGAGTGATGAATTTTGAAACAATTAAATTTCTGTCGGTGGCTACTTCAGCGAGGTAGTTCTCCATTAGCTTTCCAATCCCATAAATATCACTTTGGGGAGGAGAAAAATATTCATCATCTGCATTATAGGCTGAATGTTTTTCATTTTCAGATTGTAGGTAATTCATCATGATTCGCTGCACTGTATCTACATCAAACAATGTGTCCCCAGCGAAGGAATAAGAAGGAATGAGAAGATCATCTAAAACAGCCTGTCCTAGCTGCAGGGCCATCCTCTTTTCCAAATCAAGCCTGCAAGCAACCGTAGTCTCCAGATATATTGCTGCCCGAAGCAGCATAGAAAGAAAGCTCACTGACATTGCATTCTTCTCCCTTGGCAGAAGGCTCACTAGAGTCTCTAAAACAACCCTCTTCTCGTGTTCCTCTTGTGCCTCAATTTCTATCTTCTTCCTACCCTTTCCAAATATCTCCTGCTCCACAACAAGAAATTTTCATGAATCATTCTGCATTTTGATTACTTGTGATAATTAATCACTGTTATTTGTTGTAATTAATCATAAAACTACGTTTTACCTTTATGTATATAGCTTTAGGCTATGAAACTTGTCAACTTAAACCATCATATACGATTCTTGAGTTCTTATAATAATTATCATAAAAGTCACATCAACACTAATTTCTGATAGTTTGACACTGTAAAATTTTGTATACTGAGAATGCATGAATGCTGAACTCATTGTACTGTCAATAATATTAATCAATCAGAAATTATTTTAAACATAACTTCGCGAAAGTGATTGTTATAAAATTTAATAAACTTGTTATTAGTGATAATACGTGACTGAATGAAAAATGATTTCGTATTTGAAACAATTATTTCTTAACAGTAATCACAAAAATGAATCTTTTCTTGGCACAGAGTCAATACATAAAACCATATTTATTTGAATGTTTTCCATGTTTTGAGTAAGGTCATAGTCTTACCAAACCTCGTAGAGATTTCTGTGCATACAGCATAATGATGGGACCAAGAGCAAACTGTTTAAACCCTCTTGCCATCATAGCAATTACCACTCTTTGAAAAAGGTCAATTCTGAGAACTGTGAAATCTTCAGCCCACCATTGAACAACTGGCCTCTGGTGAGATGCCATGCCATCACTGCTAATGTCACTTCTCATAGATGAACACAATTGAGTTTCCTTTGAGGCTATGAACGCAATAGCATCTATGCATCGACTCACCACTTTTGCTTTTTCCGCAATTGGAAGGAGCCTTTCTGACACGTGTAAGATAGACACAGCCCCAGAAATAGTCTTCAGTGCCACTTCATTCAAGTAAGAATCAGCCCTTCCCACCAAATTTCCAACTGAATAATCCTCTGTCATCTCAAGAAACTCTGCCACGCATCGAAGCACAGCAATGTTTTCAACACTAATCTCGAAGTTTATCCCGTAGCAAAATTTTGTTGCCAGTTCAAATGCTTCTGCTCCACCAGGGACATCATAGAGTTCAATGAATGAAACATCATCGCCACTGGATGCCGAGACCATTTTCTCTATGTAACCACTCTTGGAAACTAATGGAAACTGCAAATTATATCTCAATCCATCAATTCAAACTTAAATATTATCTTTTGTAAAGGGTTATGTTTGAATTGGTTCACTACCTTATGTAAGGAAAACGAAACTTCGCCA